ATCCATCATTAATCAGGTCTGTTTTGAACTGAATTTAAAAAAAGCCCTTAGCTAACTGAAAATAAACTTGTGTATCCTGCCTTCTTTTTACTCCTGTCATAAGCCCTACAATATAAATAAGCTTCCAATAGTGTCCAAGAGGCTTTCAGTCATCTGCTCTCTGACACATACTGATTTAAAATTATCGTTTGGATAAGAGTGGCCTATTTAACTGTTCAATTCCCTTACACATACAGATGTAACCCATATGCTACCAGCTTAAATTCCAAACTCTAGAAAATTATATTAATAACTATATATTATACACCTTTCATCGCAAAAGATTAATCCATAAACATCAGCTCTTCATGTGGTTCTCTCTTCCTTTTTCTCTCCTAACTCCATAAGATATAGGAGCAGAACTAGGGCTATTCAGCCCATCATATTTGCTCTGCCATTTGATCATGGCTGATATGTTTCTCACTGCCTATCTGTAACCCTTGATCCCCATACCATTCAAGAACCTATCTAGCTCTGTCTTAAACATACTCAATGACTTGTCCTCCACAACCCTCTAAACCAATGAGTTCCATAGATTCACCACCCTCTGGCTGAGGAAATTCCTCTTCATCTGAGTTCTAAAGAGGTGTCACTTCACTCCAAGGCTGTACCCTTGGGTCCTAGTTCTCCTACGTGTGGAAACATCTTCCCCACATCCACTCTATCCAGGCCTCTCGGTATTCTGTAAGTTTCAATCAGTGCTTCCCTCATCCTTCCAAAGTCCATTGAGTACAGACCCAAAATCCTCAACTACTCCTCATATGACAAGCCCTTCATCTCCAGGATCATTCTTGAAAACCTCCTCTGGAACCCTCCAACACCAACACATCCTTCCTTAGGTACCAGGCCCAAAACTGCCCACAATAGTCCAAACGCAGTCTGACCAGAGCCTTATACAGCCTCAGAGGTTCATCTCTGCCTCTTATATTCTAGCCCTCTTTAAATGAATTCTAACATTCCATTTGCCTTCTTAACTGCCCACTGAACCTGCATGTTAACCTTAAGGGAATTCTGATCAAAGACTCCCAAATTCCTTTGTGCTTCAGATTTTTGAAGCCTTTCCTATTTATAAAATAGTCTACACCTTTATTCTTCTTACCAAAATGCATGATCTCACACTTTCCCACATTGTATTCATCTGCCACTTTTTTGCCCACTCTCCTAGCCTATCCAAATCCTTCTGCAGCCCCTCTGCCTCCTCAACACTACCTGTCCCTCCACCTATCTTTGTGTCATCTGCAAACTTAGCAACAATGCCCTCAGTTCCTTTGTCCAGATCATTAACTTAAAATGTGAATAGTTGTGCTCCCATCATGGACCCCTGTGGAATTCCACTAGTCACCGGCTACCATCCTGAAAAAGACCTTTTTATCCCTATTCTCTACTTTCTGCCAGTCAGTCAGTACTCTATCTGTGCCAGTATCTTGCCCCTAACACCATGTGCTGTTTAGCAACCCCTGTGGGCACCTTGTCAAAGGCCTTCTGGAAATCCAAATAGATCAGTGTATACTGGCTCTCCTTTTTCTAACTTGCTCGTTACCTGCTCAAAGAATTCTAACAGATTTGTCAGGCATGACCTCCGCTCAACCAAGCTGTGCCGACTCAGCCCTATTTTACCATGCACTTCCAAGTAATCTCATCCTTAATAATGGACTCTAAAACCTTACCAACAACCGAGATTAGGCTAACCAGCCTACAATTTCCCATCTTCTGCCTCCCTCCCTTCTTAAACATGGATGTTATATTAGCCATTTTCCACTCCTCTAGTGCCCTCCCTGACTCAAGTGATTCCTGAAAGATCACCGCCAATGCCTCGACAATCTCCTCAGCTATCTCCTTCAGAACTCTGAAGTGTATCCATCTCGTTCATGTGATTTATTCATCTTCAGACTTTCAGCTTCCCCAGCACCATCTCCTTAGTGATGGTCACTAAATTCACCCCTGACCCTGACTCTCTTAATGTTCTGTGTGCTGTTGGTTTCTTCCATTGTGAAGGCTGATGCCAAGTACCTGTTTAGTTGCTCCACGACTTCTTTGCGGCCCATCTTGGTCACAACATTTCAGGAAGGACAAAAATGCTCTAGAGACAGTCCAAACACATAACCCGGGCTTGAAAGTTACAGTTAGGATGAAAGATTGGATTAGCTAGGATTGCCATAAAACAGAGGATGCTGAAGGATGACTTAATTGAAGTGTACAGAATAATGAGGGGCTTGGATAGAGTGGACAGGGAAGACCTGTATTCCTCATGGAGAGGTCAGTTGCCTGTGGCCACAGATTGAAAGCGATCAGTAGAATGATAAGGGGAGGTGGGGGAGAAAAGGAAAGGTTAAATTATAGGAGACACAGGAAAGGTTATATTAGAGGGGCACAGGAAAGGTTATATTAGAGGGGACACAGGAAAGGCTATATTAGAGGGGCACAGGAAAGTCTATATTAGAGGGGCACAGGAAAGGTTATATTAGAGGGGGCACAGGAAAGGTTATATTAGAGGGGGCACAGGAAAGGCCATATTAGAGGGGGCACAGGAAAGGTTATATTAGAGGGGGCACAGGAAAGGTTATATTAGAGGGGACACAAGAGAGGTTAAATCACCAGTCAGAAGGTGCTGAGTGTCTACAATTTTCTGCCTGGTTTGGTGGCTATTTTTTGAAAAGGTATTTGGGTTGCCCCTAAAAGCTGTAGAACCTACAAGACCATGGACCAGCTGCTAAAAGATGGGAGTCAAATGGATGGCAAGATTTCTTTATTTTTGATGAGCTGAATAGCCTGTTATAATGTTTCGAAAGTTCTATAGTTCTCATACATGTCTATCTTCATGTCATCAGCAAATTTAGCAACCAAACCTTCGATCCCTTCATCCAAGACATTTATATAAATTGCAATGAGTGAAGGACACTCCACTCATTACATCTTGCCAACCAGAAAACGATCCACTTGTGCAGCTAATCTTCTACCCATGGCAATTTTGCTACGCCTTACAACATGAGTCTTTATTTACCACAAAAACCTTTGATGTCCAATCTTATTGAATATCTTGTAGAAGTTCAATTACACTATGTCCACTGGTCCCCTTTTATCCACAGCACACGTCACTTCCTCAAAAATTCCAATAAATTAATTGAATATAGTTTCCCTTTCACAAAACCATGTTGACAATGCCTGTTTACCCTGAACTTTACTAAAGTATTCTGCTAAAATGGCTTTAACAACTGTTACCAATATGTTCCCTATGACAAATGTTTCTAAAATAAAGTTAATATTTTCCTTACCTCAGCAGACTTTGCAAGTACTCTCTGGTAGCACAGTGAGACCAATGCACCATAACTGTCACATCCTTCATGGGAACTTGTTGTGCACAAATTGAGTCACCCTGTTTCCAACATTACAACATTGACTACACTTTTAAAATATTTCAATAGTTGTAAATGCTTTGACACATGAGGAAGCTCTTTTGTTCATTTTAAAACATAGGAGCTGTTATTGACCAGACCAAACCAGACCACCTCAAAATATTTTAAGAAGGTAGCCTTATACCCTAACTTTTTCTTATTTTAAAGGCAGATGTGAAGTGCTGTGTTCCAGATGTGATGTGACTGGTCAACCTACTCAACGTTAAGCAAAACACAATTTATTTAAACACTACAGTTAAAAATACAAACCAAATAGAGAGGAATTTAGAATAACTTAACTATTGTAAAACTTGATCAAATAATAGCTACAATAGCTATTATTAATTGATTGTTCCAATATAGTAACAACCCATAAACACACCTCTTGGCAAAAAAGGCAAATTCAGACACAGATTCTCACATGTAGTTCACTGACTCTTTGCAAGCTCCCTACAGCTGATCTTATTCTCACATTTCTTATAACCATTCCGCACCTTTAAACCTGAATTCTAAGTCTGTAAAAATTGCTGTCTTGCTAATGGTGATCTTGCTTTGTGCCCCTCCTGTGCAGTGTAACCTGAATACCTTGATGTGTCTAAGCACCCTATCATCTGTATGTCCTTGTTTGCTATGATCTGCCTGTACCGCTTGCAAAACAAAGCTTTTCACTGTACTTAGGTACACGTGACTACAATAAATCAAATCAAATTTCTCCAATCTAGGAGGAAGAAACATCAAGAGAAAATTCAGAGAGTGTAGCAGACAAGAGACATTCACTGAAATTACCCAAAGCAGCTTCTGATGCTACTGAAATGAAATAAAACCCAGAAATATGCATCTGTGAGAGCGGGCCATGCACATTCAGGCTGCTTCCATTGTTCCACTTAAAAAACAAACCCCAAGGCCTCACAAGAGATAGTAAGAAGTGCCGATGCTGGAGTCTGAGATAACACATTGTAGAGCTGGAGGAACACGGCAGGCCAGGCAGCATCAGAGGAGCAGGAAAGTCATCTTCAGTAGCCTATTCATCACACGACCTTACGATCCCTCTTCAAATAAAAAAAGAATACCAGGACAAAATAACCTTTCATAACGTGACAGCATCATCACAGAACATACGGTCATTCAAATTGGGAGAAGGGGTAGACTATTCTAACCCTGGTCCAGCTTTCACAGACATTGTGTCTGATTTGATTGTGACCCAAACTCCACATTCCCCACTAACCTGATAATCCTTGACTCCCTTGTTAGCAATGAACATGTCAGCCTCTATCCTAAAAGTGATCAATGAATGACCCAGCATCTCCCCCACTCCTGGCGCTTCCTGAGGAAGGGAGTCCCACAGAGTCACCACCCTGTGAGAGAAAACAATCATCCTTAGCTCTGTCCTGAATGGAAGAGACCCTTAGTAATAAATTGCACCTACTTGTTCCAGTTGTGATGCTACGTGTTGACAAGAGGAAAGCTCAGTACAAACAATGAGATCGTGGCAATGCATCTGTTAATTTTGTCGATTATTTTATAAAATTTCTTCCCTTCTCTTCATCTGTTTTTTTTTGTGCTGTCTAGATTACCACTGGTCCAAGCATCGTCTTTCGAATATTTGATCCCTGCCTTAACTCTCGTCACATCGCCAATAGAGACCAACAGCACCCTTCATAACGGTACAGAGTTTCTCTCCTGTATCTCGTCATGTAAATTATACTTTTCAATGACATGGATCTTTTCAGATTCAGTAATGTTGGCGTTGTCAGTTTGGGCTGAATGTAACTTTCAGGAACAAAATCAGAAGTTGCTGGAAAAGCAGGTCTGGCAGCATCTGTGAAGGGTTCTGAGGAAGGGTCACCGGTCCCGAAACGTTAACTCGGATTCTTTCCGTCACAGATGCTGCCAGACCTGCTGAGCTTTTCCAGAAACTTCTGTTTTTGTTCCTGATCTACAGCATCCGCAGTTCTTTCAGCTTGTATTTTCAGGATGGTTGGTCCTGTGACCAGTGGTGTGCCACAACATTCAGTGCTGGGTCCACTCGTTTTCGTCATTTATATCAACGGTTTGGATGTAAATATAGGAGGAATGGTTGGTAAGTTTGCAGATAACAGCAAAGTAGGTGGTGTAGTAGACAGTGAAGATTATCTCAGAGTACAACAGGATCTTGATCAGATGGGCCAATAGAGTGGCAAATGAAATTTAATTCAGATAAATGTGAGGTGTTGCATTTTAGTCAGGCAAATCAGGGCAGGATTTATACAGTTAATGGTAGGGTCCTGGGTAGTGTAGCTGAACAAAGAGACCTAGAGGTACAGGTACATATTTCCTTGAAAGTGGAGTTGCAGGTAGACCGGGTAGGGAAGAAGGTGTTTGGTTCGCTCACCTTCATTGGTTACAGCATTGAATATAGGAGTTGAGACGTCATGTTGCAGCTGTACAGGACATCGGTGAGGCAACTTTTGGCATAGTGCATACAATTGTGTTTGCCCTGCTATAGGAAAGATGTTGTTAAACCTGAGAGAGTGCAGAAATGATTTACAAAGATGTTGCCAGGTTTGGAGGGTTTGAGCTATAGGGAGATACTGAATAGGCTGGGGCTATTTTCCCTGGAATGTCGGAGGCTGAGGGGTGACCTTACAGAGGTATATAAAATCATGAGGGACATGGATTAGGGTGAATAGCCAAGATCTTTTCTCTAGCGGGGGAGAGTCCAAACCTAGAGGGCATAGGTTTAAGGTGAGAGGGAGATAGCAGGAACTGCTGATGCTGGAGTCAAAGTCGATACAGTGTGGAGTTGGAGGAACACAGCAGGTCAGGCAGGATCGGAGCAGGAAAGTCGACACCCTCCTGATAAAGGGAGTAAACCTGAAACATCAACTTTGCTGCTTCTCTGATGCCACTAGAGCTGCTGTGCTCCTCCAGCTCCATGCTGTATTAACGTGAGAGGGGATCAATTTAAAAAGGACCTGAGGGGTAGCTTTTTCATGCAGAGGGTGGTGCATGTATGGAATGAGCTGCCAGAAGATGTGGTGGAGGCAGATAACAATTTTAACATTTGAAAGGCATCTGGATGGGTACACAAATAGGAAGAGTTTAGAGGGATATGGGCCAAATGCTACCAAATATGACGAGATCAGATTGGAATGTCAGCGTGGATGAGTTGGACTGAAGGGTCTGTTTCCATGCTGTATGACTCTATGACTCCATTTGACCTCTGACCTCTGACCTCCAATTGCCTGTCCCTTCCCTCGAACTCCTTCCCACTTGGTGACCTGACATGTCCATCCTCATGGCGTTCCGCCTTCCTGTGGACTAGTGGATAGCGACAAACTTATTGTTGACTGATTCAATATTGTGGATATCTCTCCAGTCAACTCTGATTCTCAGTGCTTCGGTAACTACTAAAACAGAGACAGATTTTGAATAAAATTCAATTTCTTTAGAGGCCTACAGTGCTTTTTTTCCAGCATTGCTTGTAACAATGCTGTGAAGATTAACCTGTAATTCCTGAAGATCCCAGGATAAGGCTGGAGTGTTAGCAAACCCATGTTGCGATATGAAGTGCATGCTCCTTTAAGGGGACCTATCTTAAACTACCTTAAATCATTATCACCCCAACTCAAGACATGATGTATTAGCCCCATAATGTGTTGTCAGTCTGTAAGCAGGAGTAGGGCTAAGACTGTAAGAAATTGAACAAGAGTAGGCCATTCGGCACCTTGAGCCTGCTCTGCCATTCAATTGGATTATGGCTGATCCAATATTCCGATTAGATTATTGTACTTAGACTCCTGGTTCAGTTAATTTGTACATAGTTTTGTCCTCAAATAAAGAACCCAACTTAGTGTCTAAGCAATCAAGGATGGGTACTTTTGCATCAAAAAGAAGATTAAAATAGTGTCCCATACTAGAGGATAAAGGAAGCCATTTAGCCCATCAGTTCTGTTCTACCATTCAATTCTTTTCCCTTTATTCTTTCATGGGATGAGGGCATTGTTGGCTAGGCAGCATTTATTGCCCATCGTTAATTGCCCAGAGAGTCAACCACATTGCTGTGGGTCTGGAATGACAGGTAGGCCAGACCTGGTAAGGATGGCAGTTTCCTTCCCTAAAGGACGTTAATGAACCAGATGGGTTTTTCCCAACAATCGACAATGGATTCACGGTCATCATTAGACTCTTAATTCCAGATATTTATTGAAATCAAATTCCACCATCTACCATGGCAGGATTTGAAGCTGCGTCCTCAGAACATTACCTGGGTCTCTGGATTAACATTCCAGTGATAATTGCATTATGTCATCACCTCCTCATTCAAATAGATTCATAGAATTCCTACAGTGTGGAAACAGGTCATTCAGCCCATCGAATTCACACTAACCCTCCGAAGAGCATCCCTCCGAGACCCACCTCCATACCCTATAAACTTGCATTTCCCATGGCTAACCCACTTAGCCTGCACATCTTTGGACTGTGGGAGGAAACCAGAGCACCTGGAAGAAATCCACGCAGACACGGGGAGAATGTGCAAACTCCACACAGACAGTCGCCCGAGGGTGGAATTGAACCTGGGTCCCTGGCGCTGTGAGGCCGCAGTGCTAACTACTGAAGGTATCTTAACCCCATGTACTTGCCTTAGTACAGATACATGTGCCAATATAAAAATTCACTAATCACACAAGTCTCAGTTGACATCTTCCCTAGCCTCAGCAGTGCTTAGCGAGTTCCAAATCTCCACTTCTCTTTATGTGAAGAAGCGCTTCCAGACATCACTCTTGAATGGCCTGTTGTCTACCACCTTATTCTGGACTCCTGCACCAGAGACAAGAGTTTCTCTCCATCAATCTACTCCTGCTCGTATTTTATTTGTTCTCAATTCTACCAACTCTTTTCATTATCTTTAACACTTTGATTTAAAACACCCCTTGGCCTTCTGGACCCAAGGGAATTTCAGCCTAGCCAAGGCCACACGCCTCATGTTTGAACCCTTTTAGCTCCAGTGTTGGGAAGTCAGGCTGCTTGCTGCCAATGGCTTGCCTAATCGCTGAAACACCATTGAACAGAGACCCGGCAGAAAGGGAGAGAATGTTACAGCACTTTTTAAACTTCCTCACAGACATCACCACAAAACCTAATCAGAAGAGGGATCCCAACACCCAGCAACTCTCACTGACCTCCCACAGTCCAAAGACGTGCAGGCTAGGTGGATTGGCCATGCTAAATTGCCCATAGTGTTCAGGGATGTGTAGGTTAGGTTGATTATAGGGGGATGGGTCTGGGCGGGATGCCCTGAGGGTCAGTGTGGACTGGTTGGGCCAAAGGGCCTGTTTCCACACTGTAGGCATTCTATGATCTATGGTTTGCCAATGGTAGATCAGCCTGCATCTGTCAGGTCAAAATCCTGTACCTTCCTTCCTAACAGCAAAGATACCTTCAGCCTAAAGACTGTCGCGATTCAAGAAGGCAGCTCACCATAACCTTTACCAAGGCATCAAGGAATAGGCACAACACTCAAGAAGCTTGACACCATCCAGGACAAAACAGCCCACTTGATTGGCACCACATCCACAAACATCCACTCCCTCCACCACCGACGCTCAGTAGCAGCAGTGTGTGCTCTGTACAAGATGCAATGCAGAAATACACCAAAGATCCTCAGACAGCACCTTTCAACTCCATGCCACTTCCACCCAGAAGGACAAGGGCAGCAAATATGTGGTAACACCACCCCTGCAAGTTCCCCTCCAAGCCACTCACCATCCTGACTTGGAAAAATATCACCATTCCTTTACTATCACTGGGTCAAAATCCTGGAATTCCCTCCCTAATAGCATTGTGGGTCTGGCTACAGCACATGGACTGCAGCGGTTCAAGAGGGCAGCTCACCACCACCTTCTCAAGGGGCAACTAGGGACGGGCATTAAATACTGGGCCCAGCCAATGTTGCTTATATCCCATGAATGAATAAAATAAGCAGTAAAATGCTGGCAGATCCCATGACTGAATGTAAATCAACTGTACACATTATAGGACTTGGGTAGAATCAGTTGTATTCAGAATATGTAACAGCTTGAGATATTATGCACTGACACTGAGTTCTGGTACATTCTAAAAGCAGCTCGTTCATTTTGCCAGCACAGGAACTGACAGGCCACTGACTATCTGAAGAAAGTGTCATTCTGGAAATGGAACAATTGTTAGACAATTTCTTAAAGTCCTCTACTTGTTTCTGAAAGGGGTTCGTACAAGGTTTTGGTCTTCGGGATGGTTCAGCAGACAGCCCTGTTTTCAACAGGCTGGTTCATGCTTGATTAAAATGTTGCTAAACTGCTTTTTGCATAGTTTTCTCACATTAATCGCTGTCCTCCCCATTCCCTCTGTCTTCCATTTGGAGCCTGCCATTTCACACAGGCTCCATTTGTCTCCCTTCCATTTGTTTTAGTCAGCTTGGGTGATAGCCAAGGGGGCAGGAGCAAGACATGCTAGCCTGAGTGAGACCTCCTCTTGTTGGCTGTTCATTGCATCAGGAACTGATCCTCACATGCCTGAAATGACCCAGTGTCCGTCCCTGGTTTCTGCTTCATTGGCTAATCTCAGCTAGCACAGGGAACACCTTAGCCTAAGAACAATTGGCTCTGGGAGAGGGAAACGTGGGTGAAGCATGAATTGGAGGGGAGTGCACTTGATAAGCATGTCTCTACTAATGAGCACCATCTCTGTAACGGAAATGCAGACAAATCTAAATTAAACATCTATGCAATTCCTGCCGCAGGCTACACTAGCGACAAGGTCACTTATGTGAAGAAAAGGAGCAAATTTCAGCAACTTAAGGAGAAAAAGTGAAAAAAATCTAACTGTTCTGAAGAGGTTCCTTCATTCAGTTGTTGCCCCCATTTCAACATGGAAGCTATCATTCTGGGTTAATGTTAAGTTAGAAGGTTGTCACTTCAAATCCCACAGTTGTGGGCGTTGGAGGTCAGTCATCTCAGGCCCAGGACATCTCTGCAGGAGTTCCTCAGGGTAGTGTCCTAGGCCCAACCATCTTCAGCTGCTTCATCAATGGCCTTCCCTCCATCAGAAGTGGGGATGTTCACTGTACTGCTAGGTTGGCAAGTAACATTTGCCTCACAGTGCCAGGCAATGACCATCTCCAATAAGAGAGAACCTAACCATCTCCACTTCACATTTAATGATATTACCCTCACTGAATCCTCCACTATCGATGTTATGAGGGTTATCATTGATCAGAAACAAATACAAATACAATGGCTACAAGACGAGGTCAGAGGTTGGGGAATCCTGCTGTTGGTAACTCACCTCCTCACTCTCCAAAGCCTGTCCATCATCTACAAGGCACAAGTCAGCAATACTCCCCACTTGTCTGGATGGCTGCAGCTCAAAAGCTTGACATTATCCATGACAAAGCAGCCCACTTGATTGGCAACCCATCAATCACTTTCAATTTTTTCTCTTTTCACCATCAATCCTACTTTGTCTATGTTGAGTTTGGAGCTGCTTATTTGTCAGTGGTGGAGAATAGAAATTGAAACAGAAAAGGCACTTTTCCAAGGTAAGAAGGTAATTTACTGTATGATCGCAAAAAGTACAGTCTATGTTACCAGCCAAGGATAACTGCTGAAGACTCTAGTGTAACGTACAGAACACATCCACTCCCTTTGCATATTCATGTAGACCTCAAAGACTGTGTGACATGGTCAGGGTGGATGGAACTCAATGGTAGATGAAACAAACAATAAGTCCTTCAGAACCATTACCTTATAAATGTATAAAAACTGAAAGAACTGTAGATGCTGGAAATCAGAAATGAAAACAGAAATTGCTAGAAAAGCTCCGCAGGTCTGGCAGTATCTGTGGACAGAACTCGGAATTAATGTTTCAGGTCCAGTGACCCTTCCTCAGAACCACTGGACCCGAAACATTGGCTGATTTCTTTCCACAGATGCTGCCTGACCTCCTTATAAATGTATAAACACTCACCTCGGAAATTACCTGCTGCGCCACAACAGTGATGATACATTCACACGCCCTTCACTGGATGCAAGGTGCTTTGGGTCATGCTGGGATGGAGGCAGGTGCCTGAGAAATGCAAACTCCTTATACCATTCTGTCATTTAACCAATACAGGTACCGATGCGGCCTTACTCTGTGAAGGGGCTCAGTGCCCAGAGACGGACCTCACTCTGCAGATGTGGAAAAGCACCCTGTGTGAAGTAAGATGTTTTCAAAATTAGCACGTTGTCATGTGTGGTGTGGCAGCATTCCTCGGGCAATCAGGTAAAGCCCCTTTTCCTGACCCCAGACCTAGCAACGCAAGGTTCTGGGTCAGTCTGCATGCTCCAGGTGGAACCTGTCCAGTGTGCACACTCTATCAAGACTGAAGGGGGTCCTTGGCTGAGGGCAATCTTTATGTAAGACTGGTTGGGGTTAGCTGAGGTATGGCGCTTCCTCCTGGGCACTTTCGAAAGGATGCGTTGGCATTGGAGAGGGTGCAGAGAAGATTGAGAAAGCTGGTCCCAGGGCTAAAGAACTTAAGAACAGAGGATGTAGGAGCAGGAGTAGGCCATTAGGGCATTTGAGCCTGCTTCACTCTTCAATAAGATCACAGGTAACCTGGTATGGTCTCATCTCCACTTTCCTGTTCGTCCATGACCCTGTACTCCCTTATAAGATCATAAGATACAGGGGCAGGATAAGGGGGGAGGCAATGGCCTAGTGGACCTAATGGTATTATCGTTGGACTGTTAATCCAGAGACCCAGATAATGCTCTGGGGACTCACGTTCAAATCCTGCCACGGCAGGTGGTGGAATTTGAATTCAATAAATATCTGCAATTAAGAATCTAATGATGACTGTGAGTCCATTGTCCATTGTCCATTGTCGGAAAATCCCATCTGGTTCACTAATGTCCTTTTGGAAGGAAACTGCTACCCTTACCTGGTCTGGCCTACATGTGACTCTAGACCCACAGCAATGTGGTTGATTCTTAACTGCCCTCTGGGCAATTAGGGATGGGCAATAAATGCTTCCCAGCCAGCAATGCCCTCATCCTGTGAATGAATAAATAAAAGGAGGCCATTCTGCTCATTAAGTCTGCCCAGCCATTTGATCATGGCTGATATGTTTCTTAATTCCATTCACCTGTCTTCTCCCCGTGAGCCTTGAACCCCTTACTAATCAAGGGCCTGTCTACCTGACTCTGAACTGCCCTCTGGGTAATTAGGGATGGGCAATAAATGCTGCCTAGCCAGCGATGCCTTCATCCCATTAATGAATAAAAAAAAACTCAGGGGCTGTACCCTAGTCCCTCCTATTAGTGGAACATCTTCTCCACGTTCACTCTATCCAGGCCTCTCAGATCTCCCCTTGTCCTTCTAAACTCCATTGAGTACAGACCCACAGTCCTCAGCCACTCCTCATGTGACAAGCCCTTCATCTCCGGGATCATTCTTGTAAACCTTTTCTGGACCTCCTCCAACACCAGCACATCCGTCCTCAGGTACACAGCCCAAAACTGCTCACAATATTCCAAATGTGGCCTGATCTGAGCCTTATACAGCTTCAGCAGTACATCACTGCCCTTATAGAGTCATAGAGCATGGAAACAGACCCTTCGGTCCAACTAGTCCATGCCTACCATGCTCCCAAACTAAGCTAGTCCCACCTGCCTGCATTTGGCCCATATCCTCCAAACATTTCCTGTTCTGAATATATCCAAATGTCTTTTAAATGTTGTAACTGTGCAGGTAGTTGTCCTATAAGGTAATAGTTATAGAAAACGGCACTATAGAAAATCACCATAGAAAATCGTGTTGTATGGAAATCGCTATAGCAAATTGCTTTACCTTTACAGCAGAAAGTTTGCATTGTCTAAACAGTGTCCACTATCCATCAATCACGTTACAGCCAATTTGCATTAACAAACCACGCTTTATAGCAGAACAACCTGTACCGGCATCCACCACTTCCTCTGGCAGTTCATTCCACACACGAACCACTCTCTGTGTAAACAAGGTTCAGGTTCAAGAACAATTTCTTCCCTGCTGTTATTAGACTTCTGAATGGGCCTCTCAAATTTCAAATTTAATGTTGATTTTGCTTTTTGTGCACCTTCTTTGCAGCCGTAACTTTGTATTCCTCGCTCTGTTCTATTACCTTGATGCACTTTGCATGGTATGATCTGCCTGTACTGCACACAAAACAATACTTTTCACTGTACCTAGGTACATATGATGATAATAAATCAAATCAGATCAAATCAAATGTTTCCCCTCATGTCCTTTTTAAAACTTTCTCCTCTCACCTTAAAATTATGCCCTCTATGTTCTAGTTTTGAACTCCCCCATCCCAGGGAAAAGACCTTTGCTATTTATCTTATCTATGCCCCTCATGATTTGATAAACCTCAATAAGGTGATCCCTCAACTTCCTACACTGAAGTGAAAAAAGTCCCAGCCTGTCCAGCCTATTTTTATAACTCAAACCCACCATTCCCGGTAACATACTGGTAAATCTTTTCTGCATCCTCTCCAATTTAATAATATCCTTCCTATAGCACAGCAACCAGAACTGAACACAGTGCTCCGGAACAGGCCTTACCAACTTCCTGTACAACCTCAACATGACGTCCCAACTCCTATACTCAAAGGTCTGAGCAATGAAGGCCAGCGTGCTAAATGTCTTCTTAACCACCGTGTCTACATGTGATGCAATTTTCAAAGAATTATATACCTGAACTCCTAGGTCCCTCTGTTTGACAACACTACCCAGGGCCCTACCATTAACTGTATAAGCCTGTTTTACCAGAATGCAATACATCGCATTTATCCAAATTAAACTCTAACTGCCACTCCTCAGCCCAATGACCCAACTGATCAAGATCTATTCTAACCCTCTTGAAATGAATACTAACATTGCATTTGCCTTCCTAACTGTCAAGTAAACCTGCATGTTAACCTTAGCAGGATCCTGAGCTAGGACTCTTAAGTACCTTTTTGCTTCAGATATCTGAAAACTTTCCCCGTTTAGAAAATAGTTGATGCCTGTATTCTTCCTGCCAAAGTGCATACATTCACACTTTCCCACATTGTATTACCTCGGCTATATCTTTGCCCACTCTCCTAGCCTGACCAAGCCCCTCTACAGCCTCCCTGCTTCCTCACACTACCTCTCCCTTCACCTATCTTTGTGTCATCTGCAAACTTAGCGACAATGCCCTCAGTCCTTTGTCCGGATAATTAATGTATAACATAAATAGTTGCTGTCCCAACATGGACCCCCGCAGGGCTCCACTAGTCATCCTGAAAAAGACCCCTTTAACCTTTTAGCAGCACGGTGGCTCAGTGGTTAGCACTGCTGCCACACAGTGCCAGGGACCCGGGTTCAATTCCAGCCTCAGGTGACTGACTGTGTGGAGTTTGTACATTCTCCCCATGTCTCTGTGCGTTTCCTCTGGGTGCTCTGGTTTCCTCCCACAGTCCAAAGATGTGCAGGTAGGGTGGATTGTCCATGCTAAATTGCCCATAGTCTCTAGGGTGGGAAATGCAGGGATAGGGTAGGGGGTGGGCCTTGGTGGGATGCTCTTCGGAGGGTTGGTATGGGCTTAATGAGCCAAATGGCCTGCTTCCACACTGTAGGGATTCTATGAAATCCCCACTCTTTGCCTTCAGCCAATCTTCTCTCTATGCCAGCACCTTACCCCCAACACCATGGGGAGGTGATGGCCTAGTGGTATTATTGCTGGACTATTAATCTAGAGACCCAGATAATGTTCTGGGGACCCGGGTTTGAATCCTGCCATGGCAGATGGTGGAATTTGAATTCAATAAAATATCTGGAATTATGAATCCAATGACAATTGTCAGGAAAAACCCATCTGGTTCACTCATGCCCTTTAGGGAAGGAAACTGCCATCCTTACCTGGTCTGGCCTACATGTGACTCCAGACCCACAGCAATGTGGTTGACTCTCAACTGCCCTCTGGGCAATTAGGGATGGACAATAAATGCTGCTTGGCCAGTGATGCCCTCAAACTGGGAATGAATAAAGGAAAAAAAAAGGGTACATTTTACTTAGGAGCTTCCTGTATGGTACTTTGTCAAAGGCCTTCCGGAAATCCAAATAGACCACATCCACTGGCTCTCCTTTGTCTAACTTGCTCAAAGATTTCTAACAGATTTGACAGGCATGATGTCCCATTGACAAAGCCGTGTTGACCGAGTCATATTTTACCATGTACTTCCAAGTACTCTGCAATCTCATCCTCAATAATGGACTGTAACATCTTAACAATGACTGAGGTCAGGCTGACTGGCCTATAATTTCCTGTCTTCTGCCTCCCTCTCTTCTTAAACAGAAGTGTTACATTTTCCAGTCCTCTGTGATCCACCCTGACTCAAGTGATACCTGAAAGAAAACCACCAATGTCTCCACAATCTGCTCAGCTCTCTCCTTCCGAACTCTGGGGTGTAGTCCATCTGGTCCAGGTGATTTATCCTCCTTCACACCTTTCAGCTTCCCCAGCACCTCTTCCTTACTGATGGCCACTGCACTTATTGTCTCTCCCACTGACTCCCTTGAAGATTTGGTGTGCAGCTTATATCTTCCTCTTTGAAAACTGATGTAAAGTACCCATTCAGTTCCTGCACTATTTCTTTGTTCCCTATTACTCCTTCTCCAGCCTCATTTTCCAGTGGTCCAATTCACTCTTGCCTCTGTCTTACCTTTTAGATATCTAAGAAAACTCTTGCAATCTTCTTTCATATTACTAGCTGGCTAATTCTCATATTTCATCCTCCGCAGGTTTTTAAAGACTTCCAAATCCCCTGGCTTCCCACTAATCTTCACCATATTGTATGCTATTTTTTTGTTCTTATGTTGTCCCTGACTTCCCTTGTCAGCCATGGTTCCCTTGTCCTCCCCTTAGTAAAATTCTTCTTCCTTGGGATGAATTTCTGCTGTGCCGCCTGAACTACCTCCAGAAACTCCTGCCATTGCTGCTCCACTGTCTTCCCTGCTGGGCTCCCCTTCCAGTCAACTCTGGCCAGCTCCTCCCTTATGTCTTTGTAACTACCTTTACTCAATTGTAATACTAGGCAACTCAGGATGGGCGAGAAATGCTGGCCAGCCAGCAATGCTCACATCCCACAAATGAATAGAGAGGAAAGAAAAATTCCAGCTTCTCCCACTCTAACTGCAAGATGATTTCTATCGTATTATGGTCACTGCCCCCGGGGTTCCTTCACCTTAAGCTCCCTAATCAACTCTGCCTCATTACACATCACCAAATCTAGAAGTCTGTTTCCTACTGCGCTCTACCACAAGCTGCTTCCAAAAAATCATCTTGTAGACATTTCACAAATTCCTTTGCTTGGGATCCGCTACCAACATGATTCTCCCAGTCTACCTACATACTGAAGTCCCCCATGATTAATTTAACATATCTCCTGGTTTATTTTCTTCCGCACATCCTGACTACTGCTAAGAGGCCACTAGTTACAGGGATGGGTCTGGGTGGGATGCTCTTTAAAGGGTCAGTATGGACTCGATGGGCCGAATGACGTCCTTCCACACTGTAGGGATTCTATGATTATATGACATTCATGAACCTGAAGGGACTTTCTCCAACAATTGACAATGGTTTCATCATTAGATTCCAATATCCAGATTTTTTTAAAAAAGAAACAAATTGGATTGAAATTCCAACATGGTGAGATTCGAACCCAGGTCTCAAGAACGTCACCTGGGTGGCTGGATAAATAGTCCAGTGATAGTACCATACAACCTCCCCATTCTCTGGCTCCCTGAGCTTTGGATGTTAGGGAGGGACAAGCTAACTGCTTCCTCTGTTTCGGATGGTTCCAGGTTCGTGGTGCTGTTATTGTTTCGGGAATCCTACAAGTGTCCCTTGGATTTTCAGGGCTGCAGGGCCTGGTGTCCCGACATTGTGGCCCCATGGTACTAGCTCCTATGCTGTCGATAATTGGCCTGTCCTGCTACAAAGAGGTCGCAAATTTCAGCTCATCGCACTGGGGTGTCACTGCTCTGTGAGTACAACATACCCAAATGTTTCAAGTCACCTTGGATGTAACAAATACTGATTGCCTGTCATAATGATTTATCATTGCAATGAAAGTACAGATTTGTCCCTGTTTGCCCTCCAAATTAATTGCCTCGCACCTCCTCTTCATCTAGCTTCATCAAGCTACTCTTTCTTTTATTCATTCACAGGATATGGACATCATTTATTGCCCATCCCTAATTGCCCAGAGGGCAGTTAAGGGTCAACTACATTGCTGTGGGTCTGGAGGCACCAGTAGGCCAGGTTTCTTTCCAGTTATGGGAAGGATATTATTTAGCTAGAGAGGGTTCAGAATAGATTTACCGGATGTTGCCGGGTATGAGAAGTTTGAGTTATAAAACAATTAGAAAGGATGGAACATTTTTCTTTGGAACATAGGAGGTTGAGAAGTGACCTTATAGAGGTTTATGAAATAATGAGAGGTATAGATAGGGTTAATGGTAGATGTCTGCTCCCTAGGATGGGGGATTTCAAGACCAAGTGCACATTTTTAAGGTGAGAGGAGAGAGATTTAAAAACGACATGAGGTGCAAATTTTTTACACAGAGGGTGGTTCGCATGTGGAATAAACTTCCTGAGGAAGTGGTGGATATGAGTACAATTACAATGTTTAAAAGACACTTAGATATGTGCACAATTAGGAAAGGTTTGGAGGGATTGTGGGCCAGGAGCAGGCAGGTAGGACTAGTTTTGGTTGGAAATATGTTTAACATGGATAGTTTGGGCCGAAGGGTCTGTTTCTGTGCTATATGACTCTATGACTCCATAAAGACCATCGGTGAACCAGATGGGTTTTTACCAACAATAGTTTCATGGTCTTCATGAGGGGCTTGATGTTGAATTCTAATTAAACCATCTGCCCCAATGGGATTCATACCCAGGTGCTCAGAACATTCTCTGGCCCAGACTTTAAGGATAGGCCTTATGTACAGTGACTTCGCTCCAGGCGCAATCCCCCGTGATGCAGAGACAGCCAAGTAGTGCACAGCAAGATCCCACAAACCGTGAAGCACTGGCTGTTTGGTTGAGGGAGGGGGTTAAGGCTGACAGAGACAAAGAGTGATGGTGAGGAGAAGGCCAATAAGCATTCTGATGAATGAATTGACGTGCCTTTACGTAGTGCCTTTTGCATCCCCAAGAGAGCCCGATGTTCTTCAAGGCTCTCAAATCACTTCATCTTTGACTCCCGGTCACTGTCCTAACCCATAGCCAATTTTCACACAGCAAGATCCCACAAATCACAACGGGAAGCGACCAGTTCGATATTGTGTGAGAGCTGGCTGCGGTGGGCATTTTGGCCAGAGATCTTCTCAGGAATTATCCTGGTAACTTCCCTCCAAAGGGAGCCCACCCCCTAGGCCTGTGTTACCTTTAGGCACCATCACTGTGATGTCCTCCTTATTCCCTTTCTGCTCCCCACAGACATTGGTCTGTCTGACAGACTACCCCCTGCTCCTGTTCCACACCATGTCTTGGTCACCCATCAACCTTGTACCGACTGACCCTACAATGGTTCTCCACCCTCCCCCTTCTGCTCATGTTTAAATCCCTCCATGAACTTCATCCCAAGTCCCTGTAACCCACTCAAGTTCTTTAATCATACAATCCCTGCTAGATTTAGCAATTTCGCCATAAGTCCACAATCGACCCTCCAAACAGCACACCACCCAGGCACCCTTCCCCTATCCCTGTAACCCTGCATTTCCCATGGTTAACCCACCCAGCCTGCACACTCTGGGCAATTTAGCATGCCCAAACCACCCAACCTGCATATTTTGGATTGTGGGAGGAAATCGGAGCACCGGGAGGAAACCCACACAGACACAGGGAGAACGTGCAAACTCCACACAGACAGTCACCCGAGGGTGGGATTGAACTTCAGTCCCAAGTGTTATGAGGCAGCACTGCTAACAACTGAGCCACCGTGCCATCCTCCTTTGAGATCTCTGCAACTCTCTTGTCTATTCAAGCTCCTTTCCATTCACCCTCACTGGCTATGTTTTCTCTCCCTAAACCTCTTTCTACATTTCTCATCACGAGTCTGGCTTTTTGAGCCAGCTGTTTATTTTTATTCACTCATGAGACATGGTCGTCCCTGACGAAGCAAATGTTTAACACTGATCCTTAATCACTGAGAGGTTTGTGGAGACATTTGAAACAATGGCTAAGAGTTTTTTTTAGTCATTTGTGGAATGTGGGTATCACTGGCTGGGTCCAGCATTTATTGCCGATCCCTAGTTGCCCTTTGAGAAGGTGGTGTTGAGCTGCCTTCTTGAACCACTGCAGTCCATGTGCTGTGGGTTGACCCTCAATGTCCTTAGGGAGGGAATTCCAGATTTCCAGGATTCCATGGCAATGGGTCTGGAGTCACGTGCAAGCCAGACCAGGTAAAGATGGCAGATTTCCTTCCTTAAAGTAGAACTAGATAGATTTTTCAAAATAATAGTTAATACTAGTTTCTCAATACTGAGATTAACTTTCGATTCCAGATTTTATTAAATTTAAATGCTTCCAGATGGTGGAACTTGAACCTATGCCTCCCAAACAATTTGGTTGATAAGCCCAATGACATTACCATGATGTCCTTTACATCAGACTTTGTAACATTTCAAGAAATGCTGGCCAGCCAGTGATGTTCACCTCCCACGAGTGAATAAAAAGGTAATTATTTGACTCAGCGACCAATGTTTTCCTTTGGCAAACCTTGTCGAGACCCTGTATGAGCAGGAAAGAAGTGAGAACAGTTCAGATCAAGGGAACCCAAACACTTGGGAGGAAAGTACAAACAGAACTAAACGTGTCTCAAACTCAGCACTCTCAACAACCCACTGTTACCAATACTGATCGGAGGTCACATGACCTGGAACTTCCACCTATCATAAGAAGCCTCTTACCCATCTGTCTCCTCGATGAGAGGCAAAGGGGGTGGGGGCAAACAGAATGATGTTTAAATGACAATCCTAGAGAGTCAGTGACCTTACAGTGTACTGTTGTGTCTCTGTGTAAGATCAATGGGTAGGCTACTAGGAACAAAAAGCACGAAACAGAGAAGAAATAACACAAATAATTATCAAGAATCTAATTATCATGGGCATCCCAAAGCGCCCGCACCCAAACAATTATTTCCTCCTGGGCTCTCATGTTGCAGTGGTAATGTCCCTATTTTTGGAACAGGAGGTCTGCGTTCAGATATCGCCCACTCCAAGGTTGTGTGATAACAGCAGACAGTGGGGGTGGTCTCTTGTGGCACAGTGGTAGTATCCATACCCAACACCCCCCTTCCCCCCTAAACTTAAGGGACCCAGGTTCAAGTCTTAACTGTTCCAGAGGTTTGTAAGAAATCTCTGGCCATGTTGATCAGGGAAAAATAGGTTAAAATGGCAAATTTAAAAAAATATATACATAAATTCTTTTTTTCGAAATGTGGAAATGCAGCAACCAACTGGACACAGGATAAATATTCCGTCCAATCCTGCTGAAGGTCAATGCTCAATTTGAGCCCAAACCATCTCCCAACAAAATCTTGGGATTACCATTGATCACAAACTGGACTAGACAAGCCATATGAGCTCTACCACATGTAGAATTGTCCTGGCCAGTCATTAAAACATAAAGGTAACGAGTGTTACTTTCAATGTCTTTGAATCTCTTTGTTTATCATGAATAAAGCATACACAGTAGCCTCAAAAGCAGGTCAGAGACTAGGAATACTGCAGTGTGTAACTCACCTCCTGACTCCCCAAAGCCTGTCCATCATCTGCAAGGCACAAGTCAGGAGTGTGATGGAATACTCCCCACTTGCCTGGATGAGTGCAGCCCCAACAACACTCAAGAAGCTTGACACCATCCAGGACAAAGCAGCCTCCGCTTGATTGGCACCACATCCACAAACATCCGCTCCCTCCACCACCGACGCTCAGTCGCAGCAGTGTGTACTGCAAGCTGGCCTGCAGGAACTCAGTAATTTACCAAACCTGTAACCCCTAGCAATCTAGAAGGACAAGGGCAGCAGATAGATGGGAACACCACCACCTTCATTGTCACTGGGTCAAAACCCTGGAATTCCCCCGTAATGTTACTGAGTCTGTCTACACCATAAGGACTATAAGACCATAAAGCCATAAGACATAGGGGCAGGAGTAGTCCATTGAGTCTGCACCAATATTCAATGAGATCACAGCTGATCTGACAATCCTCAACTCCACTTTCCTGCCATGAGACCAAATAAGAAACACGAACAGGAGTAGGTCATTTGGCCCCTTGAGCCTACTGTGCCATTCAATAGGATCATGGCTGATCCATGTCTACTCATGTCTACTTTCCTGCCTTGTCCCTATAACTCTTGGTTCCCTGACTGATTTAAAAATCTCTCTATTTCAGCCTTGAATATACTGAACAGCCTAGCCTCGACGGGTAAATAATTCCACAGTTTTGCTACCCTCTGAGGGAAGAAATCCCTGTCTTGAATGTGTGACCCCTTATTCTGAGATTATACCGTCTGTTCCCAGTCTCTCCCACAAGGGGACACAACCTTTCCTTACCCTGTCCAATCCCCAAGAATCTTGTAGGTTTCAATAAGGTTGTCTCTCACTTTTCTAAATTCAGATGAGTCCAAGCCCAACCTGCTCAACGTCTCCACATAAGGCAGTTCCTCCATACCCATGTTCGGCACTGCAGCGGTTCAAGAAGGCAGCTCACTACCACCTTCTCAAAGGCAAATAGGGATGGGCAGTTAATGTTGACCCAGCCAGCAAGTCCCGTGAAAAAACAAGACAGAATATTGACCAGGATGAAAAGGGAAGCAACAGCCACTGTGCAGTGGAACTGGTCACATCCACTTGAGAAGGCGTCACTTTAATGTCTTATCTGAGAGTTTGAAATCACAGCGGGTCAGCCAGCATCCTTGGGGAAAGAGCAAGCTAACGTTTCGAGTCTAGATGACTCTTCATCAGAGCTGACATGAAG